TCCAATCGTGGCTCGAGGGTGTTTCTTGAGGCTGGAACTCGGTAGCGGACCGCTCATCCCGAATGACTCTTGGGTGAGCGCGACGCTCTACATTCAAGCTTCTCCTCTTTGATAGCTCGAGTGTTCTATCAAACTCAATGTTACTCAGATTTGAATGCATTCCGAGTCGGAACGCTGAGCCTGGAAGAATTGATGTCACTCAGCAGGTCGTCGGATGATAGCGATGATAGGCATGTAAGCAACGTTCTCACTTGCATTCTCGATTGCATTATACTTCGTCCTGCTTAATCCTCCTCCTACGGTGTCTGGGGCTCGCATACAGCTTGTATTGTTAACATGTACATATGGCACGGTTCCAATATACGGCGACGCAGTACCGCTCATAGCCAATATTTGGTATCGGGGCACGTGAACAAGTCTAAGTGCAAAGTCCCATCACATCATTAAGCGTAGCTGATTTAGTTTGAACGAAGGTACATACATTTCTCCGTCTGTCAACACGGGCCCAGGGGTCGCGACTGGAGAGCGTCTACCTTTGGCACACTATAAGGGATCTCCGCTCTCCGATCCGTGCAACATCTACTGCAACCATGGCCTCTCGACGCGTAGTGCCTCCTGCTCCCAATACGCAGGCTCTTTCGAGCTCTACGTTTCAGCTTCCGCCTTTGGACGGCTCGCTGACATTCCCAGAGCTGTACGATTGGCATGGTGTTCACAACCCGAAGCATCGCCTGTTCGTCTTTGCCCGCAACGATGGCTCCGTCCGCGAGATTGTTTTCTCGGAGGCTACCCATGCCATCCATGTCGGTGCACGGACCATCGCACAGAGGGTGGGCACAAGTGTGGACACAGCAGACAGTGCCGTCATAGGAATTGTCGCGCCGTCCGGTAAGTCCGTTCGATAGATCCCCTCGATCGAATGACTGCTCACGCGAGCGCAGACGTGTTGGCGTACTACATTTCGACAGTCAGTATCATGCGTGCGAACCATGTTGCCTTCCCAATCTCTCCCCGAAACTCGCCTGCGGCGATCGCACACCTTATTCACAAGGCCGACATCAAGCATATCCTGGTTGGGCATGACCATTTCATGCAAAATCTCGTTCAGGAGGCTTTGCAGATCTTGCAGTCTCAGTATCAGGATGTGGCCCCGCCGACCACCTCGAACATGCTCACTTTCGATGAGCTATTCCTCGAGGAGAACCGCACCAAGCCGTTCACTAACGACCTGCCGTACAAGTTCAGAGGCCCCGATGCCCCTGGGATCATCTTGCATTCTTCCGGTTAGTTCCCATCGGCTTGCACTGTACTAAGGAGACACAACTGATTCATCGACTAGGATCCACCGCTTTCCCGAAGCCCATCCTGTATACCCTACACCGGCTGTCGCTGTTCTGCATGATCCCCTTCTATGGCGGGCGAGACCTGACGAATGTGGTCTTCTCCATGCACATGATGCCTATGTTCCATGGCATGGGCATGGGCTTGATGTTGTGGACGGTCAGTATCGATAGTTCGCTGAGATGCTATGGCTGATCCGATGCTGGCGCTTCTGCTACACAGGCATCTTGCGGATTGGCGATGAGCACTTTTGAGCCTGGAGGCCATGCGCTTGCGACAACCCCTAAGGCTATCCTCGAGGCAGCCAAGGCCAGTGGGAGCGACTTCCTGTTCTCCGTGCCTGCTGTCATTGAGGTGTGTCACATGATAGCCCCTTGAAACTAGGTTCTGAGTCGTCGACCCTTCGCAGGCGTGGTCTAGAGATCCGGAGAGCGTGAAGTGGCTTGCAACGCGCCATGGCATTGTAAGGCATCAAATGTATTTTCGGTGGCTCTGCTTGACACAAATGAATTTTTATAGCTTTTCGGTGGCGGTCCACTCAATAAGGTCGTCGGCGACTTCTTGACTGCACAGGGAGTCAAGATGTTCATTCTGTACGGATGGTAGGTAACAGCATCCTGCAAACTTGCGGTCATGAATCCTCACGCCTGATAGCACGGAAGCAGGTATCATGAGTGTGATATTACCAGGTGCGTGAGCAGAAATCTACGAATTTCCGAGCTCACACGGCGAAGGCGAAGAGCCAGGTGACGACTGGGAATGGTTCAAAATGTCTCCCATCCTCGATGCCCACTATGAGCCATTTGCGGATAATCAGTTCGAGTTTATGATTGTGGTATGTTGCATCGTTCCTCTGATGTAATATCTCAGACTGATGGGTGGGACAGCGTTCAGACAGATGTCAAACGAACGTCGTCAACACGAAGGTCAACGCCGTGGATGCTTACGCCACTTCAGACATTCTCACCCCTCATCCCACTCGACCCGGTTTCTGGAAGGTCTTTGGACGTGCCGATGATCAAATCATACATAGCACTGGCGAAAAGGCGAGTGCGGTTATCGGTGTGGACATGTCTGAGATTTGACCTCGGTATCAGACAAATCCAGGCCCGCTAGGTACCGTGGTCATGGGCGTAATCCACGGCGTTTTTGACATCATGTCATACAGAGAGCATGCTGAACCAGGATCCTCATGTCCAAGCGTCTGTCATGTTTGGGCGGGGCCGTTTCCAGGCCGGCGTTCTGATAGACCCCAAGCCCCAATTCAAGCTCAAGTTTGATCCGTCTGACGAGACACAACTTGCTAATTTCAGGAATAGGATATGGTGAGCGCACCCAAAATTCCGCACACGGAAGCGAGACCTCACCTCTGTAGGCCCACTATAGAAAAGATGAATGCGTTCGCTCCACAGCACTCTCGGCTATTCAAGGAGGTTCGTGGTCTCCATATTGACATACGTCCGGTTTGTGCTGAAGAAGTGTGAGCGTGGCGCTGAACATAGATGATATTGGTTGCCAAGCCAGACAAGCCGTTCACATACACAGCTAAGAACACCGCGCGTCGTCAGGCGGTGATCAACGACTATGAGCCTGAAATCAACGCGCTGTATGACACAGTTGCAGAGAGTACCCAAACTTCCATCCCAACCCCAGAGGTTTGGGACGCAGTCGCTACCACTAGCTTCGTACGAGATGTGGTCGGAAAAGTACTGCGTGCTCCGATCAAAGACGACGATGATCTATTCGAGAATGGATGCGACAGGTGAGCACGGCGGTCAGCGGCGGATCTTGCGCGTATTCTGACCGGAAGCAGTCTTCAAGCGACTTGGATACGTAACACAATTCTTCGTGCCCTGCGCGACTCAGCACAACTTGACACTCGGGCGATCGCTGGCGGCTTCATCTACGAGAACCCGACCATCACACGGCTAGCTCACTTCGTGCATTCCCTCGCTTTAGGAACCCAGGAGACCGTGGATGAGTCACCGAAGGCAAAGGGGGACCTCATGCGCGCGATGCTTCAAAAGTACTCCGCGGACCTGAAACCTGTGACCACAACCAACAACGATGTTCCTGAAGCAAACAGTGACGTGATTCTTGTGACCGGAACGACTGGCAGCCTTGGCTGCTTCATACTCGCTTCTTTGATAGAAGACAAGAAGGTATCGAGAATTTACGCACTGAACAGGGCAGCAGAAGGCGCAGGATCCCTGCGGGAGAGACAGAGGAAGTCACTGGAGTCCCGAGGGCTTGATCCTTCGATTCTTGAATCAGACAAGGTTATCCTTCTGGAGGGTGATACCTCCGCCGGGAACCTTGGCCTCGAGGAGGATACTTACCTCCAGGTATGCCACCACAGTTTCCCACCTTAGCTAGCACGCTGACATCGGCCTTGTGAAGATCCAGCAAACGTTGACGCACATCATACACAACGGTACGCATGAATCGGCAAGGGTCGAAGGCATACTCATGGCCTCCTTCTAGCGTGGCGTGTCGATTTTAACCTTTCCCTCGCGTCGTTTGAGTCGAATGTGAAGGGGTTACGCCAATTGATTGACCTGGCGCTCTCTACTCCTCAGCCGTCTCAGCTCGTTTTCGCGAGTTCCATCGGCATTTTGCGCCGTAAGTCTGGAGCAGGGCGGTACAATGAAGATTTCTCACGTATTTTCGCAGACTACAGCGGGGCCCAACCAATTTCCGAGAGCCCTGTAGCGGCCGAAGTTGCTACTGGCAACGGGTATGTTCAGTCGAAGTGGGTCGCAGAGGGACTTCTCCAGGAAGCCGCAAATCGCACCTTGTTGAGACCGACCATCGTTCGAGTGGGGCAGATATGTGGAGGAAGGACTGGAGTGTGGAACAGCAACGAATGGTTCCCTCTAATAGTCAGGAGTAGCGCTGCACTGCAAGCCTTCCCTCAGGATCACAGGGTGTGTCACAACGTTCCATTTATCATTGGACTCACTCACGTAAAGTTCTCCGAATATTCTTAGGACGTCGACTGGATCCAGACGGAACTTGCAGCCAAGGCTTTGTGCGACTTCCGACAGCACGATGACGCAGGTGTTCGTCTTGTTCACCTGGTCCAACCCCAGCCCGTGCCGTGGTCATCCATCGCTGCGGTAGTGTCGGAAGAGCTCTCGGTTCCGCTCGTCCCCTACGACGAATGGCTCGCAAAGCTGGAAGCACGTACGAAACCTGCAGAGCAGGGGGGCGCGGCAAGCGAGGCGTATCTGCGCGTGGAGGATATCAGCCAGGTCCCTGCACTTCGACTTTTGTCTTTCTACCGGGCCCTCAAACACGGTGACAACGAAGAGGGCAATGCACTGGGCTTCCCGAAGCTCGACACCAGCCACGCAGTCGCTGCATCGCCGACGTTGGCTGATCCCCGTATCCCCCAAGTTACCCCGGATATCGTCAAAAAGTGGCTCGAGGCATGGCGTGCCAGTGGCGAGGTAGTACATGCATGATTCTGGATGATACAATCAGCGTACTTATACATGTACCCCTATTGCGTGAGGCGCCATAGAGATATGGACTATACAATGGATTCTCCGTTGATTATGCTCTGATTGCGTGCTAGCATCTGTATCTGAGTCGGGGGACGTACCGCCCGGCCTTAACGGTGTCGAGCAGCTTCAGAGTCAACTGGATAAAAACGATGTTCCCGGAGGGAGTCGAGCCCTCGTCCCCACGGTTTAAATCCAGCTGTGCTCGAAGCCACAACGTGATGATCTGACCACTAATCGACGGGAACAGATGAAAGAGAGTGTCGTGCTCACATTATATGCTAGTATGCCGAGCCCGCCTTGGACTGATGGACACAGGTTCTTGCCGCCTCGGCACCATCATCTTCGTTCTGATGAGTCGGCGCTGTTCATTGCATCTCGACGAACTGTATGTAGTCCTCTGGGCGTATAGGAGCGATACAGTTTGAGTGAGGTGAAATTCGGAGAGAAGGAGGACACAGTCGGGGAGCGCATCAATTCCCTTTTAGGACGAACACTGACATTGGTGGCGCGCCTTTCTCACGGTGCCCTTCCTCAAGCTCCTGACTCTGGCAACAATCGTCAAGGCGAATGCATGGGTGCAATTGAAGGTTAGGCATATCAATGTATCAGTGCCACCAACCATCATAGGGGTGATGCGCACTGAAGGTACCGGGACGGGCTCACGGGTGAAGGCATCACAAGGTCCACAACTCCCAAAACCAAGATCCACGTTGCATGGGACGTCACAAGGGGCAGTCAGGCGCCGGAAACTGGACCGCAACCCTAGTGGTGGTGGTCCAAAATCGGTGTACGGGGTCCTTGATCTCACTTTTTCGATGACAATCAGTGAGATTCCGTACCACTCGCGGTAGCGTCAAGATTTGCGTACACTGTTCACTCAGTAGGTATAGCATACACATAGCAACAGTCTTGTGTTGTCCATTTGACCGTGCAGCGAGAGATCATCAAGATTGTTGAGTATCAGTTGTACTGTACGGAAGCGCCCGCATGCTGCCACAGTCCAAGTCGAAGCCTAATAGGTCTCCACACGATATATGCATGTACATAGCATGTCGGCGGCCTGGCGAACACATGGAGATAGAACGTCTGATACAGCAGGCTACAGTGCCCATAGTGAGGGTCGTACCACGCTGAAACCTCCACCATGGCTGCCCCGAATGAACCAACCCCCGCTAGTCTTGCGATACACACTCCTGATGGCACTGTCTGGACACAGTGGGACACAGATATCAGACGACATGTAGCGTTGTGCGACATCTGCAGCAAGAAGATTGTTCTGACCAAGCACGGTCATTCGCACGCGTTTTTGGAACATCGCCAGTCACGCACCTGTCTCGAGCAAGAACAGAAAGCTCAGCGTCGGCGCGAACGCGAAGCTGCTGATGCGACGCGCAGAGAGCTCTTCCATGTGCAGAGTGCTACACAGAGCATTGAAGGTAAGTCTGTATCCTTTAATTGTGCCATCAGCGATGCTGAAGAGTACCCAGGACGTCAACTCAATGACAGGAACAACACACCAGTGTGCCGAAACTGGTACTCAGGCTGCCATCGGAAACCCATCTCCTTCTACTCCAGTACACGAATCTGAACCGCCACCTCGTATGCTGGCTGCACCGCGTCTTCAGCCTATCCCTGCTGGGCTTATCACTCCTATCATGTCACTGATAGATCTTGCGCAGACCACTGATTTGGTGTCATCGCGGCCATCGGCCGCGGCTCCTCCTCCGGCTCACCAAGACTGCCCCTCTGAGCGGAACCCAGACGAGCTAGCATTCTCGTTTGAGGGTCTGCATGTGTTGAACAATAGAGAGCACCTAACTAGGCAGCCGAGTTCACACACCGGTACTCCGGGTAACAGGAGTAACACATGCATTGTAGATAGAATCACATGCATCGGGATTGGTACTATACAGTAGCTTGGTCAGAAGCGGTCACCTACATGTATATAAGGACCCCTGTAGCGTAGTACAATCCCAAGTCGCTCAACAGCAACTTTGCGTGCATCAAGCCTCACAGCTAACCAACCAGGTAAGTTAGCGACCCGCTACACTGCGTAAGATAGCCTGCTCGTCAGATAAATCATCAGCTCCGATTTGGGCGATAACCCGTTTTTTCTAACGTCCTTGGGTATAAAGACGTACGCACCGCAGCCGAAAACGCGCAGGTGCGCCACAGATGGCGGCTCACCGTGTATCAATTCATAGGGGGTAAGCCAATTGAGGCGACGAATTGGTGTCCTGTTGTAAACATGGACAGCATGATCCACAGCGAATTCCCGCCAGGATGGAGGTAGACAAGCATCATGGCGCATTGCCTCTGCTTTGTCCATGAGCATTCTGTTAAAACGCTCAGCTCTGCCATTTTCCTGAGGAGTATGCGGCGAGCTTTGAAGGATCTCTATGCCATTGTCCTTTAGAAGGTCTTTGAATGCAGCGGAGACGTATTCTGCCCCTGCATCAGACAACCACTTCTGCACAGTCTTTCCATATTTGGTTTTCACCATGGCTAGGAATTGCCTTGTGGCTGTAATTGCTGCAGATTTCTTGTGCAGATTCACAGTCCACGCGTGCGATGAGGCGTCATCATAGTACAGTATGTAATACTTGTACTTATGATAGGAATCTACTGGGAAGGATTTCAAATCCGAATGAATGAGTTCAAACGGTACCTTTGCCCGGTAGTTGGACGGCGGGAAAGACTTAGAGTGCATTTTTCCCTTTTGCACATCCTTGGCATATGGGTGAGTCCTTAGGAATCTCCACCTTTCTGGGAAATCCAGACGTATGCTCCTTCGCCTTTGCAAGCACGTCCTTAGAAGGGTGCGCAAAACGGCGATGCATAGTGGAATAATCGACTTCATTTACATTCACATAAATATTCTGAACGTTTTCACCCGATTCAGCCATGAGGGTGAAGGTGGTGGTGTCCGGATGCTGCGGTATAAACCTGAATAAAGGTTTCTGCGCTCCTGGTTCATACAGACTGATATGCTGCGCTGTTGCGCGCAAGTCTAGTCCGTCTTGGAGGAATACCCCTAATGACAAGAGACGTACTGCACAATTTTCCATATAATAGACAGGATATAGGCGCGTCTGCAGCCATTGTTCGTCTATTTGGTAGTTTAGGAACACAGTTCCTTTAGCAATGATGCTACCTACCGCTCCTTGTTGTGCCGTTTGAGTACGGATAGGAGTCTGGAGATACTCGAATTCCAAGAAGTCTCTTATGTCATTTGTAATGTGCAAGGATGCACCTGAGTCCAGTAGCCACTCATTCGCTGAGAAGCGATTTTTTCCTTTACCCTTACAACGTGAGCACACAGTGTAATCGTGCGAATGAATACATTGTACATTCTTCAGGCCGCTACTAAGTACATTTACTAATGTCCGAGCGCCATGGTGCAAGTTAGAAGCGGCTATTAAAGTGCTGTTAGTAACTTGCTTGGGGTTAGGAATCTGAGTGACGTACTCATTTCCCCAGTCGTCGTGGTCATCGTATAGCTCCATACAGCGGAGCTCCCCCGTTAATGGGTTACAAAAGCTTTTGTCGACGATAGGGGGTGCAAGGCCTGCGGCCTGCGCTATCATGCCGTTTAACTCGGTGTCGTGCACGTCGATGTCTTCTTCGTCTGATGCCCAGACAATGGACTTTTCTTCGGCGTCGCAAAAGTTGTCATCCTCGCTGATGTATTCGTCACACATGACCTCGTCGATGCGATCGGCCATGTCCACATCATCGTGCTTGCTGCGCTTTGAAGCGCGCGACTCGGTGTCCGAGGGGACTTCTTCGATGTGAGCGGAGCTCACGACTTCCTTCAGCGCGCGGATTGTCTCCGGCGTGCCGGCGACGTCTAGGTCCTTGGCGAGCTGGAGGGCTTCTCCGAGCCAATCACCGCGAGCGCGCTTCTTGCCCTTGGTAGGGGCAGCTGCTGCGATTTTTCGAGTCCTGCTGCCCGAAGGCGCTAACTTGACGACTGTGGTGGTCGTCAGAGCGGGGATCGACACAGTGTCGGCAATATGCATGTCTGCATGCTCGTCGTGCTTGTGCGAATGCGGCTTACCACGGTTTTTACCGCCATGCTTTCCCCTAGGAGTAAAGCCCTTAGCCTTCTCCTTGCCCTTGTCGTTCCACTCCTTCTTCCCCGCGCTGCTGCTGCCCTCAGGGCGCTGCTGCTGCGAGAAGGAGGGATTGCCCTTCTTCTGCTTGATAGCAGAGATTTTCTGGGCCAATGATTGCCCCTTGTTCCTCGACTGTTCCCAGGAAGCGACTAAGGCATCCTGAGCACCACTCGGTGTGAGCTCTTTGATCTCGATCTTGTTGAGAGCGAGCTGTATAGCCATCTCATAGCGGGGTGGAGCGGCACCAAGAATAATCAAGGTTCTCATCTGCAGGGGCAGAGAGAGGCCTGCTCTGTCGAGCTCATCGAGGTTGCTCTGGATCTTTGCGATCGCAGGGCCGGGGTGCTCGTTCGCTGGGATACGGACATTGATCGCAGCCTTGAAGAAGGCAAATGCCCCCATGGCGCTGGTTCCTCCGTAGAGCCCATACAGGGTGTTCCAGATTGACTTTGCAGTTGTCTTAGTTCTGACGAGCTGCGCGACTTCGACGCTTAGGCGCAAACAAATGCTGCCCATAGCCTTTGATTGCATCTGAATCTATTCAAGGACTTCAGAGCGGTTTGACCCATCCGAAGCCTGTGTAGGCTCCGTGAATCCATCAGGTAACTCGATCAGAATCCAGACTCCCTGCGACTGCAGGTATGCCTTCATCAGATTGGCCCAGCGACGGTAGTTCGTGCCGTCGAGGACGGGGACGAGGTTCTGGAGTGAGTTCGACATTTTTGTTGTTAGTTAGTGGTGATAGAGCGGTTGTTGATATGGTTCTATGAACGCATTATCAGCGCTCTGTCTTATGCTGCCGGAATGGCACTAACACCACACTGGACTCATTGTTTGGGATGGCGACAGCGAAGCTGTGCCCGACCTGCAGCCATATAGGCGCAAAGTCTCCCCCTGTCGTCAAAGCCCCTAAGGGCGACGTCCAGGTAAGCTATCCTGACCTGCAGCGGATGCAGCCTCAAGGGCGCAGTACCACGCAGTGTTCAGGGCTCATAACCTGACGAGCAGGCTATCTTACGCAGTGTAGCGGGTCGCTAACTTACCTGGTTGGTTAGCTGTGAGGCTTGATGCACGCAAAGTTGCTGTTGAGAGACTTGGGATTGTACTACGCTACAGGGGTCCTTATA